AAATGATTTAATGCCCAATGGAGTAACTCGCCCTTCGAATTTCATATCAGAGCCCTTCTTCAAATTTCTTGCATTTCCATTCTTCATCTGAAGTGAGTTGTAAATATCTGGAATATTTTGCCAAGGATTCAAATCTGGCAGGTATATTCCGAAATTGTCATACTTCCTTGATAAAGTTTATTGAATTCCACCTCCTTTGCGTTCCTTGCACTCTGGTGGGAAAATATTTCTCTAAAAACATGGTTTTAAATAATTCCCAAGTAACTTTTTCTCCTTTATTTTCCAACATTTTCAAACTTTCCTTCCACCATATCTTCGCATCACCTTGTAGTTGGAAACTAGCATGGGATACTTTCCGTTCATCCGGACATTCCATAGCTACAAAAATATCATCTAAGGTCTGAATCCACTCTTCAGACCTTCTCAGGATCATATTCTCCTTTAAAATATGGCGGATCATTTTTCTTGAAGTCGGCTAAATTTGTTTTATCTACAGTGGCATGATGCTTGGGCAAAGCTGGCTGAGTCAATGCAGCAACCATTTCCCTTATGGCTTGTGCCACATCGACCATAGGATCACGTCGAGGTGGCATTTCGACCTACAGTTTATTTCACTAAGTTAACGTCTGGTGATAGAAATTATTCCTATCTTATATTTAAAATTTTTCTATACAAACAACATTTTCCTACTCAACTTGTACTCACAAGCCCTAAAGATGCATAACCAGAGCTCGATACCACTAATGTAACCCCCCTACAGATTACATTTATTTATTCTAATTTATTATCTAAGTTAATAACATTTTCAATATTCATAGAAGGTTAATAGAAAATATACTAAGTGAACAATTAATTTAGGTAAGGTTTTATATTAAATCAAGCAACAAGTTCTAGTACAAAATTTTTCAAAATATTACAAGTCATGAAGTTATACTTATATGTTATACAATTCCCAGCCTAAGCTCTGGATTTTTGCATCTAACATCTATCTCTTGGACTATGTATTCCTGCATCATACGTCACCAACATCTGGGATTGAAATATTTATGGGGTTAGACATTTAATTTTATCCACAACAAATAAAGCAAACATTCATACGATAAAATCAACTAATGAAACATTCCTTCTAATAAGTTCCTAACTGCATATAAATATACAACCATATGTAATTTAATTTGAAAATTAATTGTGAGAAATAATTCATTCATGGAATCATAATAGAGAATATCATACAAATCATGAATAATCTACAATTTCATCATCCAACATGTTTATGATATGCAAATGTGACTCAAAACGCAAAACTTTAAAATCATGCTTTTGACTCAAAATTTAAAAATTTATTTTTGACTCGGTGCTCCATGGAGACTCATTGAGTGTCTAGTGAAACCAGAGCTTATCATCACCCTGTCCTGTGATTCGGCAATGTCCCACTAAACGCGAACAAGTAGACAGGAGTCGAGTGTCAGTGCACCCGCAGGCTACCACGGCACGTAATCAAATAAAGACTGGCCACTTATGGAATTGCCCATGCCCAAACACTCCCTAGACCAGAGGTCCATCCCCATAGACCAGGAGGTCCTGTCTTACCTATTCTACTCCCCATTTACTATCGAGAGATTCCGGTAGCTCAATTTTTTTTTTTTTTTATAATTCATTCTCTGTCTCATTTGGCCAGCCATTTTCATAGTCAATTTCACTACCGAGATACTCTTGATAGTAAATTGACTCACGTAGAAAATTTAAAAATTCTGTTTTGCACATCATTATTCCTACCAACCGTCCTTGGTAGCAACTTAAGAGAAATTTCCAAATACTTTTCTCGTAAGAACTTTTCCGTGACTTCCAGAAAACATTTCATGCACTATGTTTATGTCTCGTATGAAACAAAACAATCTATCATCAATTAAATACTTAAAAACATCTCCTTCATATATTCAAAATTTTAATTACAATTCATAGTTGTTTTAAGCAAGACAATTTTTATTAATAATTTTTTTTCATAGGGTTCAGTGTTTTGTCCATATCTTGAGTTCTAAACCTCATTTTAAGATGATTCCAATTGTGTTGGAAAAATAAGATAATAACCTATAACTTTGATGAAGGCACTATCCTCAAATTCTAACGTTTACTAAGTCGTTTTCCTAGTAAACAAAGAGGGGGTAATATACTGTTTGACTTTATCTCGATTATACCCTTAACCTTTTTCAAAATTCCATTTATGTCCCTAATATGTGAAATGACTATTTTACCCTTGATCTTTTGCAAAGATTCCCACCTAGTCCTTTCTTCTTCCTTCGCTCGCTCAAGCGAGTACACCAGTCGCTTGAGCGAGATGGAACCCGAGAGTCCCTTTTTGTTTGAAGGCTTCGTCGCTCAAGCGAGTACATCGGTCGCTTGGGCGAGGCATGACCCGAAAGTCCCCTTTGTTTGAAGCTTTCGTCGCTCAAGCGAGTACACCGGTCGCTTGAGCGAGACATGACCCTTAGTCCCCTTTGTTTGAAGCTTTCGTCGCTCAAGCGAGTACACCGGTCGCTTGAGCGAGACATGACCCTTAGTCGCTCAAGCGATGTAATTTTAGCTTGAGCGATAAAGAACCCGAGAATCCCAAATTTTCCAGGTATCCTCGCTCAAGCGACATATTTTTTCGCTTGAGCGAGTTTTGCAGATTTTCATCAGTTCGCCATTTTCGAAATCCAAGTTTCAAATTTCTCAGTTTCAATCACTCAAATTTGTTCCAAATCAAAATTAAACCATAAATATGTTCAATTTAAGTTAAAAACAACAATTTTATTATATAATTCATCCTTAATTGAAAGAATTTCAACAATATTTCAATCTTTGCAATTGATGAATAGTAATCTCCAATTACAGACATTCGTATGAATAAAACTAAACGTCTAACCCATACCTGATTCCTCAATATCTTATTACTCTCCTAATCTTGTATGCTCCTCCTTTCCTCCTTTCTCTCGAATTCTTCTTCCAAGAATTCTGGTGTCTCTCGGTTTATTCTTCAAGTTGGTCGTGAATTGTGTTGGTGTATGTTTCCAGCTTCCTCCTATTTATAAACTTACTCACCGACTTAATTCTTTCTAGGATTTTCTTCGCTCTCTTTATTCTCCACCGCCTTAATTTAATTCCGATTCTTCACCGACTTAATTCAAATGTATTTAGGCCACCACCGACCTTCTGTTTCTCTCTTCTTCTTCTTTTTTTTTTAAATATTTATTTACTCATTTATTTAATTTTTATTATTAAGAATTATTATTAAATTATTATTTGACACAATATTAACCTTGGATTTTATTTTATAATTTTCTTAAGACAAAATTACTATAAAAATCATGTTTTATTTTTATAATAACTCTACATAATATTCGGTACATATTTATAACTTACAAAATTTATTTATATAATTGATTACAAAATTTAGGATATTACATAACACCCTAAACCTAATACTCGGAAAATTTATTATATGTATGAGGAATATATGTTTATAAGGTTTTCTTATGAATTTCATGTTTGAGGAATCAATGTGAATGATATGAATAAGTGACATCAACATTGACGAGATGAATTGATGTTATGAATTTGACCTAGCCATTATACAAATGAGAGAAAATAAATTAATCAAATCCTAAGTTTTTATATTTCATATTTTCTAAAAATACTTTATAGTTATTTGACATTTATTTTCAACCCAAATATTTATGAAAAACTAATTTTGTGTTAATATACTTAGTAAACATATGACTTAAAATTTCCAAGTAAAGCTGTTTCTCGTGAGATCAACTTTTATTTAATTAAAATATTATACTTAGTATTAAATTACCACAATACTCATAATTAATTGGTTAACATAATTACTAAGCCACTTAAATTAGAACGATAGAGAGAAAATGTTAAGTTTTATTTTCAAGTACTAATTTTTTTGTTTCAATAAATTAAACTAGTTGACCTATTATTTAGAAAGTAAAAACTAAAATTTAGCTAGGAAACCACCCATGGAGGTGGGTCAATTTTTTTTTTATTTTCACTTTTTTTTTGTATAGATGTAATTCATTTTTCGGTTGGGATAATACTAATAGTACAAAAGTTTCGAGTATCTTGCCTTATTGTGTTGACATTTAATATATTGAGTTGTTTTAACCTATGATATTATAAATAATAAAACTAGTTCATTTACCTTAACAAGAGTGCCTTTTAAGTTAAAAATTTCCAAAACTCAAATATACAAAATCTAATATACAAATTAAAATTATATTAGTCACTATTTATATTTACCTGTAAAACTCGTATGCACATCGGTCTCTAATACAAATATCTTAAATTTATAAAAATAGAAAACGAAAAAAATAATTTTATTAAAAATTCTAATTAATTAAAACTGATTTATTAAACTTGAAGTTTATTTGGATTTAGAAGAAAAACATGGGTGAATTTTTTTAAAACAGTGAAAGAAAAAAAATGATTCCTTGATAATTAAATAATTATTTTTATTTATAAATTTTTTACCATAATCAATACAACTTTAACGTTTATCCCTCTTACTTACATATTTAACTTATTTTGAATCACTATTACATCTCTCAAAATAAATTAAAAATTATTATTTGTTTCCTATGATACTTTACACGTATATAACAACCGGTTAATCAACCATTAAAAAATCACTAATATCTGCATTTCTTTTACAATTTCCCAAAATCTTTTAAATAACGTTATTTATGTATCTAAAAAAAATTAAGAACAAATGAATAACAGATCTAAATTTGTGTACAGGAGTTGAAATTGACTGACACGTAAATTAATTTAGAGAAATCTTTGATATAAATTTTCAAGTTTTTTAGAAGTTATTTTATCTAAAATAAAGTTATTTATTTTCAAGTATTATTATTTATTTTTTATTTCCTCCTTCTACCCTAGTTTTATTTTTTTTTTTCATAGCCCTTGGCGATCGTGCTTCGCCCACTGCCGCCGATGACGGCCTCATCATGGTGAATCCCCACACTCACAGAGTTCTTCTCTTTCTCCGACTGAACAAGTTCTCAACCCTAAGAACACATCACTCTCATCATTCTCTTCTAAATCTTAATATCAACCCACCCTTCTCCCTCCGCTTCAATTACAAATTCGCCACCGTCCCCAACGCCCGCTCCTTCGCCGTTTCGTACCTCGTCTCCACCTGCGGCTTCTCCTCGGAATCCGCTCTCTCCGCCTCCCGCAACCTCCACTTCGACAGCCCCCGGAAGCCCGACTCCGTCCTCGCCTTCTTCTCCGCTCACGGCTTCTCCCTCTCCCAAATCCGCACCATCGTCAAATGTGTAAACCGCATCCTTCTCTGCAACCCCAACAAGGTCCTCCTCCCCAAATTCCTCTTCCTCCGCTCCAAAGGTGCCTCCGACGCCGACATAGTCCACATGGTCACCACCGGCCCTCTCTTCCTCACCCGCAGCCTCGCCAACCACATCGTCCCCTCCTACCTCTTCGTTAAACGCTTCTTCGACTCCAACAAGCAAACCATGGCTTGTCTCAGACGCAACTTCTGCTTCATTTCCGCTACCGGTTTTTCGCTTAACGTCCAAATGCTCCTCGATAACGGCGTCAAACGCTCCAGCATCGCCAAGCTGCTCCGCATGTGGCCCTCTATCCTCTGCTCCTATAACTTGTCCAACACGGTTCGTGAATTGAAGGAAATGGGGTTTTGCCCTTCCACGACTTCTTTCGCCGTGGCTTTGCTCGCCAAAAGGACTGTGAATAAAGCCAAGTGGGGCGATAAGGTTGAGGTTTTCAAGAAGTGGGGGTGGTCGGAGGAGCATGTGCTTATGGCGTTTAGGAGGCATCCTTATTGCATGTTGTCATCCCCTAAGAAGATTGATGCTGTGTTTAGCTTTTGGGTTGAGGAGTTAGGGTATAGTTCTTTGGAGCTTTTCAAGTCTCCTATTATCTTTCAGCTGAGTCTCCAGAAGAGGATTGTTCCCAGGTCTTTGGTTCTGAGGTTTCTCGCCAAGAAAGATTTGAGGAAAAAGGGTGCTAGTTATGTCACGCCGTTTCTCATGACGGAGAATGTGTTCCTGGAGAAGTTTGTCAATCGTTATGAGAAGCATTCTTCTCAGTTGTTGAAGATGTATGAGAAAAGTAAGAATGTTGCGAATATCGGGGAGGAGGAGGAGGAGGAGAAGAAGAAAATTCTTTGCTTGTAGCATCAGTTGGTCGTGTCTACTAAAAATCTGACCGACAATCAGCTAGCTTGTTCATTGCATGCTTTACAGGAGTTTTGACTCTGGATGTTTCTTGTATGCTTCTTTCAGCAGCTGAATAAAGAAAAAAAATGAGCCTTTGATTTATCATATTTCTGAGTGTAAATTATATGTAGTTTGGCGGTTTTAGAATGATCTGATTGCATAGACATCTGGTTTAGTTACACTGTTTATTTTCTGAATACTGCCATGTACTGGTGTCCTTTGGAAACTTGTTCTGAATGTTAATTTCTGTTAGAACTGTGAGCTTCGTATGTGGTACAAACTACGATGACTTTGGAGCTTCCATGATGTTGATCTGCATTCCCATGTTCATTAGTACATTGGGGACTGAAACAAAAGAATTCTGGAGATTAGATTTTTGTTTGAAGCAGATTGGCACGACTGTCAATTTAAGCCACAACTGGAGGTCACCACGAGTTCTGAAATTGGCTGGCTTATCTGTATCCATCTTTTGAGATGAATAATACAGCTTCATAAACACAGTTAAACAAACTTCATGTGAATATATCAAGTGAGAAAAACAGAGGATTGTATATAAACCAGGCAACTAAAGGTTGACTTTAAACATGATTTAGTCACCTAACCTCAAAGACATTCTGAATTTCTTATGTTGTTTTGTGTATAAAGTGCCACTCTTAGTCAAATTATAACTGCTTTCTGGGCAGAATGTTGTTCTTCTCACCTGTCATGTCAAGCAGGCTGCTTTGTGTGAATTATTTAATCGAAGTATAGCTGCTTGTTTCCCAATCTCCTATTTACCCTTCCTGGGATGAGTGGTTAGTATGGAGTTGATGAAGATTTTGGCTTGTCTTTGGTTTAGTGATTTCTGGAAGTGAAATGAGCTGATTCTTAGAAGTGTTTTCTGCCAAAACTAAAATAAACCACCTATACTCTTCAAGCAACAGATATGTTTTCTGCCTAACTGTTTTTATTTGTTGTAAGTGACTGTTTTTTGTGTGTGGATTGACGTAAACTCAGGGCTAATCAGTAGAGTTTTTATATTCTTTGGTTGAGATGATGTGGTTCAAGTTTTATTTATTCTTGCAAGGTTGTTTTAAAATCAAAATTGGAAAGTGTTATGAAACAAGGAATCCACTTCTACAGTTTGCATAGAGAACATTGCATAATCACTACCAAGTCTTCCTCTACAGATTTCCTTCCTCATCTCATGACACTTTTTAAGTATTGGGGTGAGGTGGCTGGTGGGGGATTTTTTAGACATGAGAGATTAGGGTTTTCGGCCAAATCTACACCTATAAATAGACGACCACTCCACACACTTCCAAAGAAACACCTCACTCATCTTCTCTTCTCTATTTTTCTTTCTGTTCTATTTTTATCTTGAGTTTATTTATTCTTTTAAGAGTTTCTTGCTAGTTTCTAAATTCTTTAGAAGATTTGATAAGTTTTTGTTGTATTTTGGGGGACTTATGGAATACTCTGTGTATAAGTCTTTAAGGACAATAATTAAGGAATTAAGTTTTGTTCGTATCTTTATCTATTCTTACAACAATCTTAAGGACTTATGACTGACAGTATGGATACCAACAACAACTTTACATCGGAAAAGACAAATAATGTTTTCAGAACTCAAACTATCTTTACGAAACCTTTTTCGGATATTTAGAAAATTGAAGTTTTAACTAGGCAAAACTTCGGACGTTGGTAGGAACGCATTTCTATTCTCTTAGACATGTATGGAAACCTAACTCTACTAAACAAATTGAAGACTGAGTTCATTCGAACAAGGTATGTCGACACACTTTGCTTCGTGCATTGTCTAATAATTTGTTCGATGTGTATTGTTCCTATAAGGAACGAGTACCATAAGTTGCTTGAAGATATTAAAGCAAAAACATAATCCTACCTGATAGTTCGTTTAAAAACTTCTAATCGAAAAGCTTCCGAAATCCTGAACAGACTACAAACAACAACTGAAGCATAGACATAAATAGATGTTACTGCTAGATATGATCACGCACATCATCATTGAAGATACCAACCAGAAGGAGTGTGCTACTGCAAGGGCTACAACATTATCAACTAAAGCAAATATGGTAGAATACAAACCAGCTCCAAAAAGGTACGAGAAAAAACTCGATTATAAGAAGAAAAATAAATTTAATTCCTGTCTCAATGGATCTAATCCCACCTTTAAGAAGAAGAAAAATTGTTTTGTTTGTGGAAAGACAGGTTATCATGTACCTCAGTGCAGACGTAAAATAAGAATCGACAATCCTCCTAAGGCAAATTTAGTTGAAGGAGAAGATATAATTGTTGCGGTCGTTTCCCAAATAAACCTTGTGACAAATGTGAGTAAATGTGTGATAGACTCTTGTGCTATCATGCACATCTGTGCAAGTAAAAGTGTTTTTATCTCCTACACTAGTGTGGATATGGAACATGTTTATGTCGGTGATTCCAGAATAACTCTTGTCCTAGGAGAAAGAAATTTTTTTCTAAAGCTTACATTTGGAAAAACTCTAACCTTGAGTGAGTGATATGCTACATGTGTTATCAATTGTAGTTAATCTAATCTTTGTAGCACTATTGTGAAAAGTTAGGGTTAAAGTGTCATTCGAATATGATAAGATTGTTATGACAAAGAATAATGTGTTTGTGGAGAAGAGATATTGTGATCAAGGTCTTTTTGTACTTAATATCTCTGAAATTGTTAATGAATCTAACTCTTCTGCTTCTGCTTATATTATTGATTCATATGATCTATGACATGCTAGACTAGGACACGTGAATTTTTCGTATGTTATAAAATTGCAACGATTAGGATTAGTTAATATGCATGATAAACAAAATAAGAAATGTGATATATGTGTAAAATCTAAAATAACCAAGAAAAATTGTCAATCTGTAAAATGTCAAAGTGAACTTTTAGGATTATTTTATATTAATTTAGCTTATCTAAAACAAATTGTGTCTAGATGTGGTAAAAATTATTTTGTTATATTTATAGATGACTACTCTATATACACCAAAGTATACTTAATTAAACATAAGGAGGAAGCGTTTGACATGTTCTTAACTTATAACGCGAAAGTAGAAAATCAATTAAATAAGAAAATTAAAAGGATTAGATCGGATAGAGGTGGTGAATATGTATTATTTAATAATTATTGTGTCAACGAAGGTATTGTTCACGAAGTGAGCCCACTATATTCACCTGAGTCTAATGGAGTAGCTGAGAGAAAAAAATAGAACTCTAAAAGAAATTATGAATGTCATGCTTATTAGTTCTAGTGCACTTGATAACCTTTGGGAAGAAAGAAACTCTACTTACAATGTGTTTTTTACAAAATAGGATGTCGCATAAGAAAACTAGTATAACTCCCTATGAATTATGGAGAGGTTATCAACCTAATCTTAAATATCTAAGAGTGTGGGGGTGCCTAGCTAAGATAATGTTACTCAATCCTAAGAAAAAGAAAATAGGCTTTAAAACTTCTGATTGTATATTCTTAGGCTATGCAGAACATAGTGTTGTCTATAGGTTTCTTGTTCTAAAAAATGATGTAATTGAGCATAATATTATAGTGGAGACAGAAAATGTTAAGTTTTGTTAACATATTTTTCCTTTAAAGGTTACTAAGACACCTAAACAACCTATAAATATTAATAATGATGACATGAATGAGGACTTGAGAAGAAGTAAAAGACAGAGAAAGGAAATCTTCTTTAGAGATGATTTTTACACCTATCTAGTTAAAAATGATCAACAATTTTTTAGAGGCTACTAGTGCTTTTGATGTAACACAGTGAGATAAGACCATTAGGACTAAAATTGACTCAATTAAGAAAAATAATACTTGAAATTTAGTATAGTTATATAAAGAAGCAAAACCTATTGGTTGTAAGTGAATATTTAAGAAAAAGTATCATCTTGATGGATTTATAAATAAATATAAGGCAATATTAGTAGCATAGGGTTTTACTCAAAAACCCAACATTGATTATTTTGATACCTTTACCCTTGTGACTAGGATTTCCTCTATTAGAGTTTTGTTAGCTCTAACAGCTATCCATAAGTTGGTTATACACCAAATAGATGTTAAGATAACCTTTTTGCATGGTAAATTAGAAGAGGAAATTTATATGACTCAACTTGAAGGGTGTGTTGTTTCTAGTCAAGAGAACAAAGTGTGTAAATTTTTAAATCTTTGTATGGATTAAAACAAACATTGAAATAGTGACATCAAAAACTTGATAGTGTTCTACTTTGTGATGACTTTTCAACTAATGATGTTGATAAATATGTGTACTCTAAATTTGAAAGTGGTGAATGTGTCATTATATGTTTATATATAGATGACATGCTAATATTTGGTATATGCATTGATATTGTCTCTAGAACTAAATTGTTTCTGGGATCTAAATTTAAAATGAAAGACATGGGTGAAACCAATGTGATTTTGGGAGTTAGAATCATAAGGAATGGAGATAGTATCTTATTATCCCAAGAATAATACATTGAGAAACTTCTTAGGAAGTTTAAGCGTTATGACTTCAAATCAATGAGTACCCCTTGTAACTAATTTAAAGAGAATAGAGGAGACTCAATCTCTCAACCTCAATATGCTCAGGTAATTGGAAGCTTACTGCATTTAATGAGCTTTTCTAGACCTAACATTGCTTATGTAGTAGGTAGACTAAGTAGGTACACCCAATGTCCTAAACAAGAACATTAGGATGCACTTGCAAGACTTATGAGATACTTAAGAGGTTCAATGGATTATGTCATTAAATATAGTGAATTTCCCGCTGTATTAGAATGATACAGTGATGCTAAATGAATCTCTAATTTAGGTTAGACAAAATCCACCAGTGGTTATGTATTTACACTCAGGGGTGGTGCGATTACATGAAGATAAGTCAGACAAATCATTATTGCAAGATCAACAATGGAATCAGAGTTTGTTGTTCTCGAAATGGTTGGTAGTGAAACTAAGTGGTTGAAAATTTTCTCAGCAAACATTCCATTAGGAATGAAACTAACCCCATTTGTGAATATATTGTGATTGTCAATCAGCAATAGTTATAACTAAAAATAAGAACTACAATGAAAAGAACAAACATATACAATTGAGACATAATTTAGTGAAATAATTAAGAGTGGAACAATTTTCATTGACTATGTAAAGTCAGAATGAAAACTAGCAGATCCTCTAACGAAACCCTTAGAGTGAAATATGATTTTAGAAATATCGAGGGGAATGAGACTCAAGCCACTTGCAAACAAACAGGTGATGGTAACCCAACCTTTGTGATTAGAGATCTCATAAATAAGGTTCATATGGGTAAAAACAAGTCATTTATTAGTTTTACTAACACTAAAATTGATTAAAATCAATTATGTCAATTCCTATGGTGTGTGAAAGTGCTAGATACTGTATTATTGAGAAGTTAAACTTTTGTAATTAAAATTCTATGTGGTGT